GGGGAACTTCAGGCTCAGGGAGGAGAAGAGCTTGTCCCAGCCAACCAGCACCAGAGCCCCACAGAGTGCCCCACTGCTTGGCCCAGCACTCTGCACTGGACTGTGCCCTGGCTGTACAGGACACTGCCACACCAGCAGCGAGCAAAGGCCTTGCAGGTGTCTCTTCCCCGTCCTGACTGGTTGTGTCATTTACATCTGTGAGGGGACTGGCATGGGTGAAGGGCAGAGCCCAGGAAAGCAGTGGTGTTCTGAGACCATCATCACACAGCCTGCCTTTCCAGTTGTTTTTAAAACTTTGAAACTTTGAGGCTCAAATCCTCAGCTTGGTCAGCCTGAGTTTGCACAAATCACACACTCTCAGGATCACATTTCTCTTCTCAGCACATCTTGTTAAAGGGATTCTTACTCATGTTCAAAAAGAGTTACAGTTTACCTTGTTTGTGTGTATCTGTAAGAACAGTCTAGAATCTGGGGCTCGTCCTAGGGCTGTTCCCTTTCTGCTCACTCCTCACGCATGCTCAGTGGGCACCAGAGCATTTCCCAGCTGCACTCTCATGCCCCCTCCCGGCCCTTTCCTACGTCTAGACCCTGGTCTTCTCTCCCTTTCTCCTTACTCAAGAAAGGTGTTTGTTGTGTTTCCATCATTTCAGACCCCCTCCAGTGGAGAGCCACATAGTGCCCTGACCTCCGTGATGACTCATGAGGTAAGTGCCTGCCCATTCTCACGACTGGTGTTGTCCCCAAGGGCGTGGCAGCCAGCTTTGCTCTCTACTGTGACAGTTTCTCATGCCTACCTTAATGTCCTCTATAGCCACTTCCCCATCTGCTTGGCCTTCAGGGACATCATCCTATTTGATACACCTGGCCCCTCAGATGGAGGCAGAGTCTCACCGAGAGCTAAAGGTTACCATTCTGGTGGATTTCCTCCCAGTCCAGCATGCAAGCGTTTTGTCTTCACACTGGCATCTCAGCTGAGAAGGGGAGAGGCCTTCACTGGCTGCACATGCTGGTTACAGCCATAGGCTCTGAGGGGTGGGGGTGGTACAGAGGGAAAAAAACTCTCTCTCTGTTGTAACTATACAGCAGGGTCAGCAAACTGTTTCTGTAAAGAGCCGCATAGTATTTTCAGCTTTGTGGGCCAACTCCGCTACAGTGGCCATAGTTGACATGTCAATGAATAGATATGACCATGTTTAAGAAAACGATTCACAAAGATGGGCTACGAGGCACGTATGACCCAAAGGCTGTAGGATTTAGCTCACAGGCTGTATTTTGCTGACCTCTGTTCTGACTTAAACCAGTGCTCCCAGCATTCAACCAAACCTCCAGGAGGAAGAAATAGGAAAGGAAGAGGAGGAAGAAATCAAAGCAGGAAAGCTCTAAACATTTGCCATCTTCAAGGAGTCTTCTCCCTTTGTGCCTTCATAATCTCCTAGTGGAAAGAGCTTCAGGACTCCTACAGGGAAGCCTGTTGGAGTTTGCCTGCAGCCAAGCCCTGTGGAGGAGACTGTGTGTGTTCCCTGCACACACAGGGTCAGGGACACCTCTGACCCCTTTTGTAACTTTCTCTGAGCAAACAAACCGTCCAGCCAGGGCTCTTAACCTCATCAGATTCAGTGAGGGGCTAGTTTCTTTTTATTCTCACATCAGCACTGTCCAAAAGAATTTTCTGCAGTGATGGAAATGTTCTTCATCTGCAGTGTCCAACACAGTAGCCGCTGGCTATATGTGGCTACCAAGCATGTGAACTGTGGCTAGTGCAACTGAGAAACTGAATTTTTAAAAAAATTTTAGTTAATGTGAATTTAAATAGCTATATGTGGCTAGAGGCTATCATGTTGAACAACAGAAACATAGAAAGAAAACCAGCATCATCTCCAAACACAGAGGCATAGAACAACAGATTCTTTAAGTAATGATTTGTCTCCTCATCATCATAGTTTTTTTAGGAGAAAGGGGAAGGGGCATGTAGATTTGGAGGTTACTTCACTTAAGAACACTGGACTCGGTGTGGGTCCCAGAAGGAAGAGTTGTTCTAAGGTGATATGAGAGGGTGTCAAGGGTCTCACATGAGATGGGACCCAGACCCTAAACTTGGCCATTTAAGAAAAGAAATTTGAGGGTTCAGGATAGGGGAGATAATGATAAAAACATATTCACTTCCAAAAACTCCATCAAAAAATAGAAGTTTTCTATTCCCAGATAATTGCAGCCTTTTCCAATTTTTAGGAAGACCTAGACAGACGGTATAATGTGGAGAAAGAGAAACTCTACAAGATTCGTTTACTACAGGTGAGTAAAAACGAGAACCAAAAAAATATGTAAATGCTTCTAACTAGGTATAAATCTCTTATAACAGAGCTAGAAAATCTCTGGCTCTAAGACTAGTATCTAAGAACTAGATAGGCTAGGTAGTAAGGCTGCTGTTCACTAGCCAGTCTTCTTTCTATCTGGAGTGTAAGTCCATGATTTAAGATGTTGAAATAATGTCTCACATTGGCGTGTTGCTTTCATGTCACTCATTGGAGTGGATCCCCACCCCAGGTGGAGACTAGGTGTTATCAGCCTCATTTTTCATATGAAGAAATTGACTCAAATAGGTTAAGTACTTGCCCAAAGTCAAGCTGCTGGTAAGTGCCAGAGCCAGGATTCAAGTTCCCTAGTACTTGTCAAGTGTTCTTGTCTAGTACTATTCCTTGCAAATTAAGTGCCCATTTTAGTTATCTTTCTTGATAATCAGTGGTTTATGAAAATGGCATCAAATGTGAAGGAGGTAGGTTTTAGAGGCAGCTCTTAAAACTAAATTCACACAGAGTCAAAATTACATTTTAAATCCCCTACATGCCAGTCTGGCTCATGGAAGCTCAAAAGCCAAGAACTTTTTGCACTTTGTGTTCAGCTCAGGCCATCTTTCTGTTCTCTGGGAGGGAAAGGCCAGGCCCTGGTGGGAATGGCCAAAGGGCTGCAAGGACCAGTGAGATCCTGTTTCCCTTCTGTCTGGCTCCTACTTATTTTGCTGAGGTCTGTGGTTAAATTTGGGTGAGTCAAATTTGTTTTTGATGCAAGGATTCTACTAATCTTTAAAGACTCACAGAATTATATAAAATCAGGACTGTACAGCTACTTATTTGGAAACTTTTTGACTGAGTGCTTACTACATATTCAGCACTGCACTAGGTCCCAGAGACAGTAAATGGGATGACCCAGCTTCTGGGAGCTGGCTGCTGGCCATGTGAGAACTGAGACATGTCCAGAGACATCAAAGTACAATGGGATTGTATGCAAATAGCCTACTAAGGGCAGCTCCAGACTGACTAGGGGGAAGCTGCAGGAACGCCAGTAGCTGGCTGAATCAGGCATTGGCCGTGGGGATAAGTGGAGAGGAATTGGTAGGGGAGAGACTGAGGACCTGTAGCTGGCACAACTTAGTATTGGCTGGGTGAGAGAAAGAGAAGAGTAAGGATGATGCTCGAATTTCTGACGCAAGGGTGCATACTTGTGTTATTCACTAAGAGGAAGCATAAAAGGTTAAGCGTAAAAGCGTAAGGTTAAGGGGGAGGGTGGGAGTATGAATAGTAGTGTTAATGTTACCTGTTTGGGGCTTTTAAAAGTTGGGGTATTCGACCAAGTAGAAATGTCCAAGGAGTGGGTGGTTGTCAGGTCCAACTCTCCGAGTACTCTGGGCTGAATGCGTGGGTGTCTGCACTGTGTCAGTGAGGACTGGGGCTGTGAAAATGTAGAAGAGGCCCTGGACCTAACCCTCGTGAGCATAGCACATGAGGACAGGCAGAGGAAAAGGAGGGTTCCACCAGTGAGGATGAGCCCAAGCAGCTGGATGAGAAGACAAGAGCATGAGGCCTCGTGGCAGCTGAGCCGTGAGCTCGGTAGAGAGGAGGGGAAGTGCTGCTAGAAGTCAAGAAAGCTAGAAGCTGAGAGTTGTCTACTAGATGTGGCCTGAAGAAGGTCTACGGTGACTTTGGCAAGAGCAGTTCAATGGGGCCCTGCGGAGTGCCTGGTTGGTGGGTTGAAGGATGACTGGAGGGGGAGGTAGAGGCCCCAGGTGCATGGCTCTCAGCGTTTGGCTGTGGCAGGGAAGAGAAAGAGAAAGAGGCTGGGAGCTAGAAGTTTTAAGGAAGAGCTTTTGTAAGGAGTGAGGGACTTGAACATGTTTAAATGCTTGTGAGAAGGAGCCAGGTGATAAGGAAAGGTTAAAGATGCAGGAAAAAGACCAAATAGTTGTATCTTAAGATTCCTAAAAAAATAAAATAGGAGTCAGAGCCTGAGCACCCACGGGGAGGTTAGCCTTGGCGTAAAAGAGAGATCCTTCCCTCTAACTAGAGCTTCAGACATCCTATTTTGGATTTGGTCGCCAGAGTTGATGGTGAGTTTCCCACCAGAAAGCTCTTATTTCCTCAATGAATTAGAGATCCACATCTGCAAGCGAAGCAGGCAGGGAGAGTGGGAGGATGTGGTGGGCAGAGGAATGAAGGCACAGAAGAAAGGCAGTGCCCAGAGCCCTCTTGGTCCCAAGACCATAAATGTGCAGCGGGAGCCACGTGCAAGTGAGCGCCTCGCTCCTGCGGCAACTGGCTTCGGTGCCACACAGCATAGCACTGCACTGCCTTTCAGACCCGGTCGTAGGGCAGTTTCCCCAGTCCATGGAAGCGAGACAGTGCTGGAAGGGTATTTGAGGGGTAGATTGCAGGGGCTTTTCAACCAGACTGGGGAATTTAGAATGTACGTGGAGGCAGCAGGGTGGCATAATGTCCATCATCTGGGAAGCATTCCTGTCATTGCCTGTCCCCGTTTGGCAGTGGTGGAGCCAGCTACTCTAGAGTCCTGTGGGGCCTGGCAGGCTAGCTGGGAGCTCTGTCCACAGAAGCCCTTCCCATTCAGAATCTTCCTTCCTAGTCCATTGACTTGATGCCTTCTGTGGTTCTCTTCACAGACACGCCTCCTCCCATGTGTTGTACAGTGAGAATGTCAATCAAAATCTGAGAGGAGGACCTCATGCTAAAGGCAGAAATTTGTGCCTGCATGCCAGGCCTTGTGGTTGGGCTCAGGTGGGGGTGCAGGCAATATTTTGGCTCCCCAGAGAACATGTGAAGCCTTTTACCAAATAGTTCTCCCCTCTCTTTTGCATCTAGGCTCGAAGAAATCGAGAAATAGCAATTTTGCACCGCAAGATTGATGAAGTGCCCAGCCGAGCCGAGTTAATACAATATCAGAAGAGATTTATTGAACTCTACCGCCAGAGTAGGTGCATCAACGACAAACAAGGCTGGGGAGGGACAGGAGGCGAGGGGCTCTGTCCCACTTTGGCAGGGCGGCGCGTGCACCAGAGCTCAGTCCATGAATGCCACCACCAGAAAGGGCTCCTCCATTTCATCATCGGGCCTGCTTGGCAGTCCTGGGAGCAGCACCGTGGCCTCTCACTGCCCTCCCCATGGGCAGGTTGTCGAAGCCAGCTGAGCTCTTAGAGTAATGCTTTGAACCAGCCCCATCCTGCTCAGCCACGTGGCCTTCTCCTAAGCTCCTGTTCCACTTTCCAACTTCTCATGGAACATCGTGGTCCAGTGTCTAGAGATCAGTCCTCACGCGTTGTTCTCTATGGACTTCCTTGCTGATGTGGTCCTTACCTTTAATAGGATTGTATCCACCTAGTCACCCAGTACTTGATCCCCTTCAGGCTAAATCTGCCTAAGTCTCATCAAGCTCGGAATGGCCCTCAACGCTGTCATTGCCTTTCTCTTCCTACCACTCCTGCCTTATCTGCTCTCACTTGCATCGTATCTCAGCTAAATGACCGTTAGCTGGCCTGCAGCACCCTCCTCCACATCCCTTAGCCAGCATCTGGTCATGTCACTTCTCTCTGTTGACAAATCTCAAGAGCTACTCAGGGCCTAAAATAAAGCCTTTCTCCTTATTGTGCCTGGGATCCTTCCCAGACCCCTTTCCTGATCTGAGCCTTCACTTTGGCCACACCAGTCCATGCATTGCCTCTGGGCACACCCTGAGCTTTGACATCTTATCCTTGACTCCTCTGGTTCCCTCTGCCTGGATCCCTTCTCTTCTGTCAGGCAAAATCCTTCAAGACCCAAGGTTCTGTCAGCCTATCCTGGGTACCCCACCCCAGGCAAGAACTAATCACCCCTTCTCTAGGCTCCCACTGTTCCATGTCCCCATGATACCTCAAACTCAACAGGTACAAACCTCCCTAACCCATGTTTCTCTAGCCAGGCTGACCTCCTCTCAGTTCTCTGACTCATGCTGCTTGCCAGTTCTGTTTCTTAGTAATTCTCAAGTCCATTCTCTAGACTCTTGCCTGAGAGATCTTTCTCAAACATAAACTTGATCATTTCATACCCTTGCTCTAAAAGCTTTAGTATTTAATAGCTCCCCATAACATGTTGGATAATCTTCAGAATCCTAAACACACTGTACAAAGTCCTGCATCCTCTGGGCCCACTTCACTGTCCAGCTTCCCCTGCAGTCACTTGGTGTCCCATCCCTCTCGTGCATCTGCATCTCGGCCTTGAGCAAGTATCCAAGACTGGAATTCCACTGTCCTGCAAATTCCCACTTGGCATTTAAAAATCCACCTCAGTTTTGCCTTGAGACCTGGCCCTCTCAAGCACCTGTCCCGGTTCAGGTTAGAGCACCGTCCCTACTGGAGGATGCAGATTATGCTTCCTTTCGCAGGTCCTGCCCCAGCACTTGAGGTTTCATCCAGTCCTTGCATTGGCCTCGGATGATCTGAGGCAGGTGTCAGCAGTGACAATTTTCAGCAGAAAATAGTTTCTGCCTTAAGTGAAATCTTTTCCCTTTAATTTTCTATTCCTGCTTGTTTCTAAACTTTTAGCAGTAATCATAATAGTAGTAATAAATAATAATACCTTGCATTAGTATATTTCACAGGGCGAATTTTACATGTTAAAGTCACTTGATAAGGATGTTTTTCCACCAAAGAAATTTTCAAGCAGTTGAACCGAAATAACTGCATCAATTTTTATTGATACTATCAGATATCTACAACCCTCACTTAATGCGTGGGGTTTATTTATGCGTATGGTTTATTTATGGCAGTGATTTTCAACTTTGACTATCCACTGTCATCACGTGAGTCCCACCTACAGACATTCTCCTTTCATTGGTCCTGAGAGTTATAAAAGTGTATCCCAGGTGATTCTGTTTTCATACTGTGGGGCTTCCGCAGAGAGTGAGCGCCCAGCCCTGACAGACCTGAGTGCTGGCGGCATGCGGCACAGGGAGGGCACTCGGGCCGTTCTGATGCCTGTTCTTACTCATGTGCTGATTTCTTTGAATTTACAGTTTCAGCCGTGCACAAAGAAACCAAGCAGTTCTTCACTTTATATAATACCCTGGACGATAAAAAGGTTTATTTGGAAAAAGAGGTAAGAACCTTTATAAAAAGAAAATGGCTTAATCAGAGGATCAGCTAAGAGTGCGGTTGACTCCAGATAGTCAAATGAACTTGATGTCTGGGTTGGATGTGTTCCGTGTAAGCAGAAAGAGTGCCAGTTTATGCCAGCTGCTGGGATGCAAAGTCAGAAAATGCAGGATTCCTTGGGAGCTCACATTATCTCGGGGGGAAGTGAGACCTACTGACAACTGTCCCAGAGTGCCGTGTGGGAAATGCCATCATAAAAAGAAACACAGTGGGAGCACTGGAGCTGGTGAGACTAACTTGAGTTTTAAAGGAAGGGAGGAACCAGCTAACTGAAATGGGGATGGTGAGCTTATTATAGTTTACATAGAGAAAATACCTATTTAATCATCAATGGCAGACATAGGAATGAACTAAGAAGATTATAGAATTCAAAGAAGGGGTGAAAAGAGTTGACATGGACACCCCACTTCTTACATTCTCTCCACTCAGGTTAAATCCACTCATGATTCAGGGCTCCCCCAAGCTGGATGACAAATGACTGGGGCAGGGTGTACAGCTGTGTTTTATGGAAAAAAACCAACAACATTCCTGGTCCAGAATGGCAGTACAGTGTAGTGGAGAGAGCCCGGGTTTGGGCGTCAGACAGATTAGGTTTTAGTGTGGCCTCCTTTGTCTCACCTATAAATTGGAGATAACACCTGATTGTGCTGGTGATGATTATGATGAAGAGAATGAGAAGAAGTTCATTGCACATGATCAATTCTCAACACATATTATTCCTACCTACTCTCTCACCTAGAGTTTGACAGAATTTGTTTTTATTTCATCATCACCTCATGACCTGCATTAATTACCACTTTAATAAAAATAATATTATAAATGTATCATTTACCTGAACCCAAATTGAGGCATCTATAATTATTGTCACCTTTATTGCCTGTTGTCTGTCAAACCAGATAAATCTCTCCTCCTAGGCACTCCTTGAAGACGGGTTGAGTTTTATTTTTTTTTTTTTTATATCCAGGGCCTTACACAGTGACAGGCACATGACAGGCATTTGATACATGTTTGAGTAGATGAATGCATTTGGTGGGATTCGCATCAGACCTGGGAATAGCTCTGCCCCACACCCTGGCCTTGGGGTCTTCCTACCTGGCAAGGAGAAGATTTCCCAACCCTAACTCAGGGACAGGCCAGCTCCTTCTCAGAAGGCCTTGGACCCCATTGACCTTCCTTCATCAGCAGTGTTTGAAGTTGTTGCATTTTTTTAAAAACTATTGGAGTTTGGGAGTTGGAGGCTGGGTTTTTTAATTCTAAGCCATGGTAACACAGAACTTCACATTTGAATAAATTGGGTATTTTAGTCTAAATGAATTTATGCCTGTGATATTTTAGCCTTAAAACTTCCCTGTGGAGTAATAAGGACAAGAAATATTTCTATATTGCAGACTCTGAACCTGAAGTTCAAATACAGTAATTACTTAGTCCTGAGCCCCCAAGTCAAGAAGTTGCACAGCCAGAAAGAGGACCTAGATGGCTGTACTCCGGACTCAGAGCCCTTCCCAGGACTGCGGCACTGGGGCAGACTGAGGGTCCTACTGTGGGGGCTGAGGCAGTGTCCGTGGAAATGGGGCCTTCAACAGCGTATCCCCTGGGAGGCTGTCAGAGCCACCCAGCTGGCTGCACTGGCAAGAAGATTCTGTGGGAGGGGCTAGGATGGACACCGAGTCCTCACTTTCCACCCCAGCTGACTACCCCTGAGCTGATACCCTGAAGATAGAGTGCAGTGCTTGGCAAGGTAGGGGCTGTGGTGGCGGCTTGCCCGAAGAGCCCTCGTGTTAGGCCGGCATCTTCTCAGCTGAGTCCAGGTCCCTTCAAGGAGCCCTCTTCCGACATTCCTGTGGGAATGCATTGCAGAAAGAGGGCATCTTCTGTGAGTAGAGGGAGGTGGATTCCCTGAGGAAAACTGTGAGACTAAGAACATGTTCTTTTTTTTTTCATATGTTATTAATACTTTAATCTTCATAAACAAGGTATGTGTTCCTTTCAGAAGCAGTGTCTGGAGACAAAGCAAGCTTTCAGTGATTGAGGTAGTACAGAAATCTCTCAGCCTTTTACTTAGTGTTGTGTTTTGTTTGTTTTATTATTTTGCTTCCTTAGATTAGCCTGCTGAACTCAATTCATGAGAACTTCTCACAGTAAGTACTGCCATTCCTCCTGCCTGTAAATAGCTGGTCACCCTGCACTTCATGTTCAGCCCTCCTGTTCTCCCCACAGTCTGACTGAGAAAGGTAAACGCAAGCCTTAACGCGGGGCGTGTGATTCTTACACTGTCACCCCTGCTACTGAGTGCAGGTGCACCTTGGTTTATGCCATCCTTGAGTTCCTGCAGACATATGATGATACTGGAGTGAATTTTAAAAACAAAGGAAGAGCTTAGGAAAAAAGTTCACTTTCAAATAAGTTGCCTATGCCTATCTACTATAATGTCTTTGTACATTAGTTTTGCTTGGTAGGATCAGATTAATACAATTTGTTCTTGAGCATGTAGCTGCTTTAAAATTTAAATAATGAAATAATCTATATAATTTTTTAAAGATTTTTTTAAATTTTCTGGTAGATTCTATTTTTACATTAATGTGCATCCTCTAAACTACTTTGTTTAGATAGGAATTTTTTTCTCCAAAATTGGATGGCAAGGCCCACTTGGCCCCCATCCTACCAGCCCTCAAGCGTGTCCACTGGCCCATCTACCATCTGGGCAAGCCCAGATTTTGCTCCCTGGATAGTAGGCTTCCTTTTTGTCTAGCACACATCTCTGCTGTCCCCTGACAGATGACCAGGAACCCATTAAGACTGAGATTTTTTTTTTTCTTTTGAGACAGAGTCTTGCTCTGTTGCCCGGGCTAGAGTGCGGTGGCATCAGCGTAGCTCACAGCAACCTCAAACTCCTGGGCTCAAGCAGTCCTTCTGCCTCAGCCTCCCAAGTAGCTGGGACCACAAGTATGTGCCACCATGCCCGGCTAATTTTTTATGTATATTTTTAGTTGTCCAGATCATTTCTTTCTATTTTTTTAGTAGAGACGGGGTCTCACTCTTGCTCAGGCTGGTCTCGAACTCCTGACCTTGAGCGATCCACCCGCCTCGGCCTCCCAGAGTGCTAGGATTACAGGTGTGAGCCACCGCGCCTGGCCAAGACTGAGATTTTAATGAATTACAAGCCCTAGATTTCAAGCTTCTTTTCTAATTAAAAAAAAAACAAAAAGCAAACCCACAGCTCCCTGATAAGATTCAGATTCAGTCAGTGACATACAATGCCTTGTGACATTTCTAAGAATGGTGCTTTCATTTTTCTTTCTTGGTAATTGAGACACCCTGCAGTTTGAGTGTTTTTGTGAAGAGTTCTGCTCTGCCAGTTCATCCTTGGGAAGAATTCTCAATCTTGTGTGTGTGGTGTGCTCTGATCCTCCTGGTGTCCTTCCTCTGCAGAGCTGAAAGTGAAGAGGAATGTTTTAGGACAGCAGGGAATCCATTCAATTAGCTGCTGCTTCTAGAAAAGGACCAGGTTTCCCATCCCTGGTGTTTAGAAATCTGAGAATATATCTACCAGTCTTGAGCAGTGTCTTCTCCTGATCCTCAGGTTTTTAAAAACCAAATGGAATTCATTTCTTAAGCAGTTCATGTCATAATTCAAAGTAAATAACATTTTTGTTCATTTTAGTCACATTTTATTTTACTTTAAGAAAATATATATTAGTAAAGAAAAAGTTGTAGGGAGAGTAGGGACAAAAAGAATGAATATGCGGTTCTAAGACTGCACTAATTTTCATGTCTTCCTCAGAGGTTTAGAATCCTTAATTGCCTGGGATCCCACGGGCCCCCGTGGTCCACTGTGCGTTGCAAAGTCCCTTTTGTCTCTTGGGACATAATCTGGGTACAGGGCTGACTCCTTGGCATCTGCCCCTTTCTTAGTCCTGTGTACTGGTCATAACCTTTGCTGATTTTTCTTTCAGAGCCATGTCCTCCCCTGCTTCCCGGGACCAGTTTTTACGTCAGATGGAACAGATTGTAGAAGGAATTAAGCAAAGTAGAATGAAGGTCAGATGGCTTCTTTTCTCTAATGTAGCCCAGGTTTCACAGTGGTGGAGGAAGGTCCTGGAAAAAATAGGCCTTTTCTGGTCTTTCTGGGAGCGAGTGTGCTCTCAATCCCGAAGACACTCGTTGCTGCAGAGGGGCTCCCACTGTGCATCTGACTGCAGTGAGCAGTGCCTGCTGCCTACACCTGGAGGTTTAAAGGCTGCTGTTAGCAATTGCTTCCCGGCATTGAATACCTACTGTGTGCCAAACACTGAGCTAATTCTCCTAAAAGCCATCTTACATGAGTGGTATTGCACCCATTTTACAGATGAGGAAACCAGCTTTCACCAACAGGCTTCCTCTCTCACCTAGAATCACTTTCTCACTGGATCTTTGGTTCCTGACAGTCTGCCATGAGAGATTCATTCTTTAGGATCTCGAGAGCACTCTAGTGTTCAGGAACCACCTATAAAAGAGGCATACCATCACTAAACTGAGTTCTGCTTAAGTGCAGAGATTGAACAAAGACAGAGGAGAAAAGAGAGGCACTGGAAAAGGATGTGGGAGCACCAGAGAGCTTTGCAGAGAACCACTCGGTCTGGGGCAGCATGAGTTTCCCTCCCGTCGTGGCTCTGCACTTGGGCCCTGTTTTGTCAGGAATAAGGTGGACTTGCTGCCTGCTTTAGCTGAGGGCAGACACGCAGCGGCAGTTTCCTACCACCATTCCTAGATGAATCCTAACTAGTACCTCCAAATATCACTGGCTTGCAATCCTGTTTAAATAATGCATCACACCAGAGTGGTCCTCTGACAAGGCAGTAAACTCTTCGGGGACTTAGGGTATCCCTTCTTATGATCTTGGGGCAAAGTACTCCGGTGAGTGATGCTAGAATGTAAGCACATAAAAATAAGAATTGCCTGTAGGTCCTGTCATCGTAAAAAACCCACTTACAGGAGACAAACATTCAAGCTGCCTGTAATCTCATCTCACAAGAGATGAGCTAAGGGCAGAAGTGCTCCATATCCCTTTCCCTGTAGAAAAATATCATTAATCTTGCCATTAATGACTTCAATAAAATGATGTCAAAGGAGCAAAAAAAAAAAAAAGTATCAGTAGTAACAAGCGTGATTTCTCAGACTATTCAGCCACAAAAAGGAGAGCAGGCGTAAGTCAGCGCTTGCCTGTACACGTGCACTCGCCCAAGGCAGGATAGGCTGTCTTGCAGAGAGCGAATGAAGTTGGTTCTCAGTGATCTGGGGTACGAGGTTGGTGGAAGACAGAACCTGGCTGACCGAGAGCCTGTGACAGCCCTGGTCACAGCGCAGTAGACCTTTCCACCCTGCCGTTGCTCCTCCTCAGCAGCTGCTCTTGTTCACAGTAAAGAACAACAGGAATTCACTGGCTTTTCTTCCTTTGGCTCGCCCTTCCTATTTACCGAGAGCTGCCTTCCTAGTGGGGAGGGGGGTCTGACCCCTTCATGCTCTCCACGATCCTCCAGGCCTCCTGCTGTTGACACCTCAGTGCTGGCCAGTGAGGGAAGTTGCTGCTGGGTCTCTGTCTCCCCACTAAATGGTGGACTCCAGACAGGTGAACGGGACCCAGGGCAGAGCTGGCTCTCGTTCTCAGGTCTGTGTCCCCAGTGACTAACATAGTGCCTGACCCATGGCGGGCTCTTAACTATTTGTTGAATGAGTGAATTCATTCAATAAAGTCTAAGAGCAGTTCTCAAAGAGGGTTCCAGATAGCGTTTGAATATTGATTGGCGCCCTGAGTGGAATCGGTCTGCTCCGCACAACAGCGCTCATTTGGATGGATGTGTTTTGTTGGGTTTGTTTAAGAAAAACAAACATAGCCCTCCCTGTAACAGAGCTATAATGGGTCCTACTCCTGTAGATGTAGCAGCAAGGTCTGTGTCCTCCCGAGCACAGATTCTTCTGACCTGGCAGGTTCAGGGTATCAGGCGATAGACCAACACATGATAGACTATCACTTTGCGTACAAGTGATAGAATGGATGTTTATGTTCCATCTGAGCGTTTCTGAATAGAGAAGGAATCACATATTAGTAGGCATTTTGACCTTACCGAGAGGTGGTAGGGTCTTGGGATCTCTGGAATACTGTGAGCAAGTGCTTGGCACCGGCAATCTGGAGTTCCTGACCTAGGGTGTGAAGAGGTGATAAGTAGGGAATAGGAATGGTATGAGCGCGTAGGGGTTGCTGAGAAGAGTGTGCAAATGAAACTGAGACTAAAGAGTCAGCTCTTGATTCTGAGAGTGAGGGGAACCCTTACCACTCTCCTTATGCGTTCTAGGATCCTAAATGTTAAGAAGAAAAGCTGTCTTCATTGAGCAGCCAATATGAACCAAATGATGGATCTTTCACTTAACATTTAATATCATATATTCCTCTTAACAAAACCTGTGATCAAAGTGATATTATCCTTACTTAGCTAAGGGACCTATCATTCAAAAAGGTTAAATAAGCTGTCCAAGGATACATGGTGAGTGGCACAGCTGGGATACAAACCTAGGCCTTTCTGGCCTCAAGCTCATACCCTTTCTAGGTTGCCACGCCACCTCCCATAGTTGGTCCTGGATAAATTCATAATTGAATTCAAGTGCATTGTCTGTATCACTAGGACATCATCAGTCATGGCCAAATTTTTCTCTAAAGTACAGAGCAGACAAGAGGCCTGGGGTAGAGTTGCCTTCTGTGCTAAATAAGAGAGAGGGACCTACCCATTAGGTCCTAGCCAGGCCAGCAGAAAGTGTCTGTCGACTTTGGGAGGTGGGGTCCAAGAAGGAGCAGCAGTGGGCGTTGTGACAGCTGGTCGGTCACTATGGCAGGACAGGAGCTGGTGTTAGAGATCCTCGCAGGCAGCACCAGGGGCTCTGTCTGCAGGGAGGCGACTGTCTACTCTGGAAGACATGGGCACAAGGCAGATTACCAAACTCAAGACCTAGTACGGATATGCAGCAGGTATCTGTGTTCAGACCTGTGGAAAGAGGAGAGCACAGAGTCTTGGGACTCAGGAGCTGCAAACAGGTCAGGATTGGACCAGACAAATAAATTCCCATGTGGGGTCGGCCATGTCCTTTGAACAATGTTGGGATAGGCCTTGGGGATACCAGGTTGCATTTCACCCGTATGGTCAACAGAGGCCCATGGTGCAGAAAGAGTGGAGAGAACTACTGAAGAAAGTACCCCCAATTCACCTATAACTTGTGTTTACAAACTGTAAATTCCCCTCCAAAGTGTAACTCAAAACTCATGCTCAGCATCAGCGAAGCCAGGGCAGAGCATCACCCATTTCATTCAACAAGCTTTTGAGCACCTGCCATGCATCAGGCACTGGGTCTGTACCATAACTCTTTCTGCCCTCATTTCCCGGCTGGCTGACACTCTGGGTTTATCTTCTAGAAATACGGCACATAGCACCACCAGCTGTGCTCAAGTGTCACTCCTCAGAGAGCCCTCCCTGACCTTCCAGTCTGAAGAGGCCATACATGTACCCACCCTCCCCTAGTACCTCACCCTGTTTCATTTTCTTCGTAGTCTTCATTTTCTTCTGATCACTACTGGAAATTTTAATGTGTATCTGTTTGTTAGAGTACTTGCTTGGTGTCAGTTTCTCTAGAACATACACTATGTGGGAGCAGTGACCTTGCCCTGTTCTCCACTACATACAGGTACTCAGTAAGTGTTCAGTCAATATTTCTTGAAAGAATAAGCTTTCAGGTACCTTAGAAAAGTCTCTTTAAATCAAAGTCTAGCTTCTATTTATGAAATTAAAATCCTGGAAACACTCTAAATTTCCTACCAGTAGAAAGA